AAGCATATTAAGCCAAAAATACTTATTGCGTTTCTCAACTTTGGAATGGGCTAGAGCAATTCCAGAAGCGAAAAAATTTTTTGCCCGTTTGTTACTCAAACCATGTGCCATTTACTATTTCATAGCTGATCTCTTAAGGACTCAAAAGCAATCAAAAAGACCCTTTTTGCGAGTATCAAACCAGCAGTACATGTCGTGTTTCTTGACTTTGGAACGAGCTAGAGTAAATCTGCAAACAACAAAATTTGTTGCTCGTTTGTTGATCAAACCATATGCCATTGACTATTTCGTTACTGATCTTTTAAAGACCCACATTTAAAAGGACCCTTTTCGCAAATATCTAACGATGTGATCTGTATGGAATTTGGCACTGTATAAATGCCTCATAGGGCATCGGACTGTGCTAAATTTTAGTTAGTCCAATGCTTTTTTAAAGAAAAATAGACCACTGACTACTGGCTTATATTTGATTAGTCATTGCCATCAAAAGGCGCTAGTTTTGAATGTATTTATTCATCTTAAAATGTATGATGTTATTGATTAAGACACATAATGAAGTTTAAGGCGGAAAAATTTTAAAAATAAAATTTTGAAAAAACATAGCTAAAAAATGAATCGAATGAGTAGGTAATGTACTTGCATGGAGATAAAGAAAATGATTGAAAGTTATTTACTTAATTAAATTATAAAAAACATTAGGATTTAATAAAATTTTGGGGGTTGGCCCCTGATGCTCGTAGGGGGCAGAGTCCTGTAGTTATATATAAAATTTGAAGGAAAGGTGAACTCCAGGTGATATTATTTTGTGTATCACAAATATATTGAATGATTGTAGTTTGTTTTGTAAAAAATTTTAAGCGTGCCTATGAAAAAAAAAATTATTTATTAAATGTAGTAGATCCTACTACAACTTATGCTTTTACATAAGAGAAACATATTAAAGGATACAACTATTTTAAATGAAGCTAAAACTAGTTGCTCTGCCGCATTAAAAGTTCTCATAATAAAAAATTTTTCCAAAGTTGAATTAAATAAGCTTGATTGAGCTTAAGTCCTTTTCATTTATACGTCCAATTACAGCAAATGTAATAAAATTACATTACAGACGTTGTAAAATACGAATTGGTAATGAAAAAGCTGCAAGTATTAATTGGTTAAGCGATTTTTAAAGTAAAATGATCCTGCAAGAATTTTGCTTTTACACGTCAAGTGTGCAATATCTGATCAATTTTCGTGTGGCACCATAGTTACAAACAATGATCTGTTTATAGTAAGCATGTTGCTGTTATAAGGAAATGGTAATTTTCGTACCTGGTGGTACGTCTCCAGGGCAACCTTTAGGCCCGAGGGACTTGTGAAGCAGGGTCTGAGGGACTCTTTGTGCTTGTCCCGGTTAGATGTGCACCAGTTGTGAACTTTATTTTTCCTTCTAGAAGCGCAGTAAACGTCCAAATGTTTGAAAAAAGGCCCAAAGAAAAAAAAAATTTTTACAAAGCCTAAAAATAAAAATTTGAGAGTCCTTCGAGAGTTTTTCGTAACATTCGCAAATGTGCATAAAGCAACGAATTTCTGCGGCTATTTTCAACAAGTTTGTGAAACCACCTATCTTCGTGTTATCAATTGTCATGAAATTGAACTAAAATTTTAAACAGTTCTTTAGTAAATATGGCCTGCCAGGCTTGTAAAACATGACGGTTCCCAATTATTCATGGATGTGTAAAGATCAAATAATTAACAAAAAAAATTTTATAGTTCTTTGCAACAGTTTTGTGCCTCTTAGAAAATCGATGTAGTTCATTATGCCTACTATCCAAATATAATCCATTTATGTTTGAGATAACATAGGGCTGTTAAAAAATGAATACTTTTTTTGAAGTTTTGGTATCTGCATAAGAAAAATGTCATGATAATGTGAAGTTTGCTGCAACCTACTGGCCAGGAATAAAAATAAGGTAAAAGTATCATTTTCGACTTAGAGTTTAATTTCATGTTACAGTAAGGAAAACAGCATCTATTTCAATAACTGGTAAACATGAAAAGTATTTATCTAATATAATTTATATAATACTTTCTAGACCCAAAAAAAATTATTGACAGTTTATCGATCAAGAGAAGAAATCGCTTTTAATGATGAGAATAAATCACATTGAAAATAATGTAAAAGTTTATAGGCCATGTAAAGAGTGATTTTAAAGGAGTTGGTTTAAAACAAACGTTTCATAAGGTACAAACTTCTACTACAAATCAAATGGTACAATTTTTTTCTGCGGTTGCTTAAGACTTTTTAATTCTGAGTCCTCGAAAGATCAGTGACAAAGTATTAAATGGCACATTGTTTAAGCAACAAACAAGCAATACATTTTTTCCCTTGCGGATTTTCTCTAGCCCATTCTAAAGTCGAGATACGTAGTTTGTGCTGCTGGCTTGATATCAAGCTAGGAAAACTTCTTATATCTTCATTCTGTAAATAGCAATATGTTGAAATGTGAAATTTCATGACTTTTTTGCTGAAAATTCCTTGTATGATACCGAAATATCAAGCTGCACGAAAAGATAGGTTTAAAGCAAAATTCTAACACAGCCGAAAGATTGCCTATTTTAGATGTATTTAAAAATAATGTGTACAAAAAATTTCAAAAATTACAAGGGCCATTCGTCAAAAAAATTGGTGCCAGCTGTAACATTGCTATGGTATAATTTATTGGATAAAATTTAGACTTCTCTATATCAATCCATGCACAGTGCATTTCTCTTAATTGTAGTTATTATTAAGCAGAGTGAGCAGAGAATATAGAAATTTTTCCAAAAGGCTTTGTTATGATTAATTAATAAAGTGAATTTCGTTTGCAAAATAAATTGAATCTTTATTTTGTACTTGTACTTATGCATTTCAAAAACAAATACTTTTTTCTATTTACGAATCTATGATTGATTGTGTGTCTGTAAATGAGAACACTTTATTTTAAAATAAACTGCAATGCTCATGTAACAACTAAACAATTACACTTCTCAGTTTTTTAAGCTATTGTAAGATGTACGTATATTTTTCGTACACATATTGAAAAAAATTATATACATAATTTGCATAAGACAATTCTTGCACTTGTATAATTGACTCTAGCCAAGACCAATGCAAGAAAATCTTGATATTTTTAACATTAACAATGCCACGTACATGTGTGAACGGTTGGTTGTCATTTTAAAAACTCAGGACTCTTTTGCCAGGTGGTCATTACTTTTCAACACCATTACACTTTCTTACAGCTTATTATTCGACCACAACTGCATGGATCCTAAACAAAAAATTTTTATTAGAATGTTGTTCATTCCGAGATGGGTAACGAATGTTTCAAATACACTGCTAATTTATCAAAACCTTGTCTTTGGGACATGCTATCTTAACAGACTCTTTAAGTTCATCGTTAGATTAAAAAAAAGTAGCAATATTTTTAAGTTACTATGTAGATGCTGCTGTGCACACTTTTTAAAAAATAGTTATCCCATATCTGAAATATCTAATTGAATGTAACCGTACATAGTCTCATGCCCGAACAGTTGTTTAATAAGTTTATTAAACATCATACGTACTTAGATTATAGTTACGAATAAATGAAATAACTAAAGTCAAAATGTATTCTATGATTTATCTTTGTATGCTGAGGGCTAGTGTGTAGAGCACGCAAGGAGTGGAGCCCTGCTAGTGCATATATATATATATACTATCGGGGCTACGCCTTCCTGAGCGCTCCATGTTCTAACTCCCTAGGTTAAAATTAATTAGTAAAAATTGAAAAGTTTGTCATTTATTTATTTTCAATTTTTTACAATTTTTCATCGAAAAATAAGCTCATAATAAATATTAACGCGTTGAATTTAAAGATAAAATATTAAAACATCATGATTATTATAATTTTAGCAATACTTCAGACAAATCAATTATCTATTATAAGCTGGTCTTAGCATTCTCTGCACGTCATTGCCATCGTCAAAGAGTTATGAGAAGTAAATTATAAATACTATCTGTACTATATCAAAGGATTTAAAGGTAATGTTATTAGATATACTTTTGAGACTTTCCACTTCATCAACTACCTTTGTTTGAGAAGTTTTTGTTAATAATTAAATTTATTTCTATTTAGTCAGAAACTTATAGAATATAAGAATTTTAAACTGTGGTTTTTGTACAGTGTAGGTGAGGTGTTGACAAATATAAAAAATAACAGATATCTCAGAAAAATTCTAACTTGTTCTTGAAGGGGGTGGCGAATCCTCCTGTCCCTATCATTTAGTAATCTCATGAAAAATCATAAGTTTATTTAGGGGGTGTGAAGGGGCTGTGGGGTAATTATTTTATAATAACCCTATGATAAAGTATGTTTATGATACATTCTAAGTTTTTCTAGAAATATGTAAGGGAAGGAAGTGGAGTTGGAAAATTACCCCATATCTACCCTTTTTTAACATGTTTTCTTAAGAACAGGCTTATTATTACATTTTTTCTATATGGCCTGCCAGGCTTGTAAAACATGACGGTTCCCAATTATTCATGGATGTGTAAAGATCAAATAATTAACAAAAAAAATTTTATAGTTCTTTGCAACAGTTTTGTGCCTCTTAGAAAANATATATATATATAAATTTTATTTTCAAGAAAGAAACGATAAGTTTGTCCAAAAGTTACAGAAGAAATCGATTGCTGAACTTGTAGCTCAATATCCAAAAACTCCCATTAAACGCTAAAAATTATACCGAATCACGGTAAGTTTTTCTGTGCAAATTTTATGACGCAGAAAGACAAACTTAATATCTGGAATATTTTTTTGTAGATAAAAAAAAGGTGCACGTTAAAACTATACAATTATTGTGTCAGCAAGAAAAAATAATAATAAGAACAATTTAAAATGATCCAAAAAAACAATGAACAAATAAACAATGAAAAGAACAATAGTCTGTCATTTACTTTCACGAACTCTTTATTATAATTACCATTAATCTTTCAGGGTTACCAGTCGTCCACTGGTCTTGCAACTATACCCATTACTCAGTATCAAGCACAGTCATCTTCAACCAATTCTTCTAATCATAATACTTCTTACATAAGTTCGGGATACCATAACGCTGCAACATTTAAATCTTCGTCTCAGGCTTATCAACAATCAAATACAACGTTCACCACTTCAATGAGCCAAGCGTCTAATGCATACTCTAATACTGTCCAATCAGTAAGTAACGTCAGAGAATTTTGCATATACTTATTATTTTTACGTAATGGATTTTTCTACTTAGTAGCATTGACTGTACCAGCCAGTTTATGTTCTACATCCAATAAACAGCTTATAGTATAGCTTGTTGCAATGGTTAAATAATAATGAACAATACATCAATTTTTATTGTAGCAATCTGTGTGTTATTTTTTTACGTAAACTTAAGTTGTGACGTGCAAAAAAAATTTTTTTTCTTCCTGCAGTGATAAAAAATAGCACTAATTCACAGTTGATAGTAATCATTCAAACTATAAATAAAGACAGATGATACAGAGTGTAGTAATTCATACTAATAATGATTTATAATCTAAAGCATAAAATCTACCAGTTTTTACTCGCATTTAAATGCTTACTTATTATGATACCATGTGTCAAAAATCACTTAATTACAGTTGTAGTAATACGTCAAGAGATGTCAAAGTGAGCTAAAAAATGCAGCAGCCATTATTATCTTTTAACTAACCTCGCTGTTCATGTGTAGTAAGGTGCTCATATGTTCGCTATGTTAGCGAATCTTTTATACATCATTTTTGTTAAACAATTTACTATTGTTTTCCCTCGTTTTTAGAGGTGGGGATTACTAATGTTCAAAATTCGTAGAATTTATTAGTTTCTCGGTGAGTTTGAAAATACTTAAAAATTATTTATTAATTAGTTTAGTATATTTTTTATTTTTAAAAATAAACTGTATATCTGTACATTTTTTCAAACGCTATTTGACTTGTCCACAAGTCTTGTCTGGCCTAGGCACGTTTAAAAGGTTTGTGGCTTGCCCTCAACTAGACCATAAAATATTAACATTACCGCTCGAGTAATGATTAGTATTTTACCAAATTGAGCCTTAGTGGAAAAAAAAAGTACAGTTTTTGGTCTGGGATCAATCATTATTACTAAACAATGTCACGTAAAGCAAATTACAGTGACATGATTAAAGAATTGTAATTTTAACATGCCTTTTTTTGAAATAGGGCAGTTAAAAAATATTTTAGCAAATGTTTTAGAAAATAAAAAGTTGTGTTCCTATAGTGACAATTAAATACGCTCATAATTTAGTTTTAGCGTCAGATAAAGCTCTATGACCAATTCAATAAGGATAGATCTACAAAATTTTGTTTCAAAGTATTTTTACCTGTCTTTCACGATTGTCGATCGTGAATTTCTATCTGAGTGGTATGTTTTTGCTTGTTCACAATATTTATTTTGATGTATACGACAAGAGTTATTTTCTTATAATAACATACAAAAGAATATGCTCTGATGTAATATGGACTATCAAATTATATCTAGCTTTTTCAAGTTATTTTATTCTGTTATTATTCTGCACATTACTTTGACTACTTACACTAACACTTCTTGAACACAAGATTTCTTCCCTGCATAAAAATGCAAGGGCAGTCTTTTACATTAAATTCTGTAGGAAGTCTACCTCGTAATAATCAAAAATTAATTTGCGTTGCCTACGATTAGCATGTTATAAAAAAATGCTGATCAGTCGATAAGTCGAATGTTATAGCTTAAAAATGTGTAAATTATTATTCTGATGAATTTTGTCTTTAATTAAACATTATTTCAACATGATGATAAAAGGTTTGACTATTAAAAACTTAAATATATCTAAATATGTACATTGTTTAAGGTGTACAGAGAAAGAGTATTAAAAAAAGAACTTCTTACGGTATGTTATCCTGAATATAATTTAAAAAAAGGGCCATCGAAAAGCTCAGAAAAAATTACAAAAAAATGAATTGTACTGCATGATTTTATGACACTTGTTAATGGAGAAATTAATTGTGCAACTAGGGACCCAGAAACAGTGCTCAACGCCTTTTTCAGCACTTTTCGAGTAACTGCACATGCGTGGTGCACCGCTTGCCACAGCCGATTCAGTGCCATGGTTTGCACAATATTGTTCACTTAGTTAAGGGGGCTCTAGTGCCTAAGTAACGAAAGCCTGGACACATATGAAGTCTGTTCAAGAAATATCGCAAATCTTAAATTTCCTCGGGCTACATATATTCAATTTTAATTTTTTTTATAACGTTATGTTGGTGCTTGAGTTCCTTTTTTATGCTGTCAAAGTCAGCCATTTTAAATGTTTAATTAAATTTGACAGTTGTTTAGCTTGGACGTCTTTTTGCTCGTCTTCAATTTTTACCTATTTTAAATAATAGATCAAGGATATCTCTGCCGAAATTTCATGTGAAAAATAAAATACAGTGCATGGTCACATTCAGTATGTTGACAGTGACACATAGTGAAGCTATCTTTGATAAAAACAACGTTTATAAATGGTATAAAATGTTATTGTAAAAGATTTTAACGGCCAAGAGTGTGTCGGATGCCTGACTACATGAACAAAAGACAAAAACAGTCATAAAGCAAAGAAAATAATGTTTGTCAATCATCGAATCACTGTTACAGAAGTTATGAAGGATATGAAAATATGAACTGTCTCGTGCCAATAGATTTTTTTGATGGAAGTTTTGATCACAGTTTATTTCAATTTCAGGTGCGTTGTACATTATGAGCTCTTGCTACTAGATAGTGCGGTCAATAAGGAATATTTTCTACGAGTTACGGGAAATTTGCGCTAAACAATCTACCAGATACCCAAATTTGTGAAAAAAACACAAACCGATCAAATTTCGGGTAAAAAATACAGTAATGGTGCCTTACCCACCGCATCCCCCAGGCTATGCCATGTACAAGAGAATACACTGTACGACAGATAACGTTCGTACAGCAGATTACGTTCATCTCTTAGTACTCAATGGTCTCATGACTCATACTTATTAAGCACAGAACCCTCTCTTTCATTTTACTAGTGTGATACACGCTGGAACCTCTTTAAGTAATCGTTGTGGATAAAAACACTAGCTAAATCAACAGAGAGAAAATTTCTTAGGTTACAACAAACTTTTAATCACAAGACTGTGTAGGTTAGAAGACAAAAAATCATAAATGACAGCTGGAAAGGTTGAAAAATTGAAAGTATCGTATCCCAACTTCTATTGATCTTACAGTAACTGTTTTTTTTTAAAATTAACATAAAAAGTTATTTTTATCTTGCTTGATAATTAGCGACACAATTTTCGTTTACGGTCTTTTGTAAGTAACTTGTTTACTTGTTTTATTAAAAATTAAATGTTTAAGTTATTAAAGACATTATTTGTCACTAGTTCTTCAAACTGAGATTTCTATTTTATGCTCGTGACACATTTTATACACAATTAAAATTTAAAATTGATGATGTTACCATAGGCTATCATTTAAAGTTTAGCCATCAGACTTTGGAGTCTATATCAATAAGTGGAGATTGTGTTCTAAGAGATTAAAATAGTAAAAAATCCGTTTTTTAAGATTTTGCTATTTTTTGCGAAACAAACATAAATTTTACAAATGTACTTAATGTAAAGTTTTTGTTTAAAATGTTATAATGATCCACCATTAAAAACTGTATTTAGCAGCCTAAAATACATCTTAAAAAACTTTAGTTGGTCCATTCTAATTAAGAAGGTCACTAGAACCTGGCCCCCAGACTAATTGGGTTGCCTGACATTTCTTGCTTTGGTATTATGAAATTTGAAATACTGCAGTGGAAAAAAATATTAAAGTTGATCATGATAAAATAAATTTTTGATTACATAGTGCTTAGGTTTCTTGCTTAGAAGTAAATATTGATACATGGTATTTTTTTCAAATCGTGTGTTGTGACAGGTTAGTCAATGATAGCAAAGTTTAGGAAATGAATTTTTATTCTTATACCCTTAAGACAGTAGACGCTAGGAACACTGTGCTTTAGAAAAAAAGTTTTCTTCTACAGCGGATCTATATTTTTTCATTACTATTTCTTGATTCATTTTCTTGTTCAGTTCACCTTCCATTATCGTTAACAAGCTGTCCACACTTTTTTTTTGTATTTTCTACTCTAATATGTTGGACGATATTCTCCCATTTAATTTACTTGGTCGTTCTTTCGAGAACAAGTTTAGAAAAGTCACACCTAATAACTATTTCCTCAACTTTTTTTTGAGCAAAACTTCTTTATTAATTGTTAGTTTATATTTTGCTTCCTTTTTTTAAGACCTGTTCTTTTAACTAATCGGGCAAAAAAATTACTCACAATATAGTCACAGTTTTGTGAGAAAAAATATTAGTGCGAGTACTTTTTGAATTAAAAGAAATCCAAAACATTACATTCACAAACAGTCCACTACTACATAAGAAATATCCCTTTTAAGTATGGTTACGTGCACATCAGTTATATGTTTATAGAACAGCCAAATTTCTAGTGCGTTTAAAGAATATATACAAATGTGAGAGTGTAGGTGTAGCACACAATATTGCGACAGGACATTCAAGGTATAAAATACAATAAAAGCACCAATGAATACGAATAAAATGACCAGTGCAATTGTAAGATTTAAATTACCATTTTTTTTTATTCGCTTTTTAAACTGTGAAATTGTATATTTGTTACTGTGTAATGAACTATCTTGGTTTTTTTTTTTTTTTCATTAATATTAACTTTAAAATAAGAAATTTAAGATATTTCGATATTTCTTACAGTGGTTAATTGTGCTGTGTATTTTACACTGTGACACTGAGACGAAGAGATCTAAAAAATGGGAGAAAAAATACAGACCAATAATTGATGTAGAAGTTTTGCTAAAAAAAAGTTCTGAAATTTATGATTAAATGTTTCTTTTTCAAAATTCAATTCCAATACTCTTATTTCTCTATGTTCTGACATTTTCCTATGATATGACGGTTGACACATGAAGGAGTCTACCTTGTATGGTTTTTTACTACAGTTTCTTTATACCCGGACTTACAGGACTGTATGAAACTACATGATTACGTATAATTAAATAAAAAGCTGGTATAGAGATAGAGAATTTGTTATGAAATTCAAATTCTAAACACACATTACTGGAGCATATTTTAACGACTGATTT